CTCATCCTCTGGACGCTCTTTGGGAACGTGCTGGTGTGCGCGGCCATCGTCCGCTACCGGCACCTGAGGAGCAAGGTCACCAACATCTTCATCGTGTCCCTGGCTGTCTCGGACCTGCTGGTGGCTCTGCTCGTCATGCCCTGGAAGGCAGTGGCTGAGGTGGCCGGGTACTGGCCCTTTGGGGCTTTCTGCAACGTCTGGGTGGCCTTCGATATCATGTGCTCCACGGCCTCCATCCTGAACCTGTGTGTGATTAGTGTGGACAGGTACTGGGCTATTTCCAGCCCTTTCCGCTATGAGAGGAAGATGACCCAACGGTTGGCTCTGGTGATGATCAGTGTGGCCTGGGCTTTGTCTGTGCTCATCTCCTTCATCCCTGTCCAGCTTAACTGGCACAGAGGTGGGGATGTTGTTGCCGCTGGTGATATTGGAGATGGATTTGGCGCTGGCTGGGCAGCAGCGGGTGCTGTCACCACCTGGGCAGAAGACATGGGCACCACGTGGGTGGCATTGGCAGCAATGAGACCCTCTGATGGGACCTCTGGCAGCAACGATACCCTCACTGGACCATCGGAGAGCTGTGACTCCAGCCTCAACAGGACTTATGCCATTTCCTCTTCCTTGATCAGTTTTTATATCCCAGTGGCTATCATGATAGTTACCTACACTCGAATCTACCGCATTGCCCAGGTGCAGATTCGTCGGATCTCTTCCCTGGAGAGGGCAGCTGAGCATGCGCAGAGCTGCCGGAGCAGCCACATTGACTGCCACCATCACACAAGCCTCAAGTCCTCCATCAGGAAAGAGACCAAGGTATTGAAGACTCTCTCTGTCATCATGGGTGTCTTTGTCTGCTGCTGGTTGCCCTTCTTCATCTTGAACTGCATGGTTCCCTTCTGCGAGAGCCCGCCCAGTGACCCCCACGCTGGCCTTCCCTGTGTCAGTGAGACCACCTTTAATATCTTCGTCTGGTTTGGTTGGGCCAACTCGTCTCTCAACCCCATCATCTATGCCTTCAATGCTGACTTTAGAAAGGTCTTCTCCAACCTCCTGGGATGCGGTCAGTTTTGCTCTAGTACTCCAGTGGAGACTGTTAATATAAGCAATGAGCTTATCTCTTACAACCAGGACACCCTTTTCCATAAGGAGATAGTGACTGCTTATGTTAACATGATCCCAAATGTGGTTGACTGTGAGGAGAATCGCGAGGACCCTTTTGATAGGATGTCCCAGATCTCCCCTGACCACGAGATTGCCACTGACTCTGTCTGTGAGCTGGACTGTGAGGGGGAGATTTCACTAGGCAAAATAACACCTTTCACTCCAAATGGTTTACATTAAATTGCATCCTGCCCTGGTCTGTTATTCTTGGATTATATAACAAAATAGTAGCACTGGGTGGAAAAACCTACTTGATTTTATGCTATAGTTTGGTCAGTCACTTCATACTAAACTCAATTCTATGTGTAGCACTTTGCAGGATGCAGACACTGTCATACAGGGAGCTGGCAGCACAAACTTAATTCAGCACTTCCCCAGGCTGAGAAGGGAGCAGGCAGTCACGCTGATTAGCTGTGGTGAGGTATTGTGGTACAATTACAGTCAGTTCATGTTTATAATGTCTTTGCAAATGAAAGGTGTCAGTGCTAAGTATTACAACTTCTAAAATCAGGGACAGATGTGGCTGGCATAGACATTAAATAGAAAAAACTTCTAGGCTGTTCATTTGTTCAGATATTATTTTTCTTTGTTAGGTTTATTTTTTTTGGTTGGTTGGGGTTTGGGGTTTTTTTGGGGTTTTTTTAAAGATAGAAATAGTGAGGTGGTGATTTGGATGATTATTTAAATGCGTGTTTCTGCCAAAACAGTTTATGTGAAATCCATGTTCTCCTAGGCGGCGTTGTTGCCTATGATATCCTTGCCATGTTCCCAGATGAATAAATAAAAGTTATATTGATCAAGGGGTTATTATCTTTCATTTGTCACCCTGAAAAGTTTGCAAAGTATTCAAACTTCGACGTTTCTATTTGAATGGTTAGATTGACTAACAGCTAAACCCTATTGTTTTCAAAGCAAAATAGTCTGTATAGAAAATACAATTTCTGTATTTTCTGTATAGAAAATACAATTTCTATACAATCTGTATAGAAAATACAATTTTTAAATAAAAGCGGGGCTCATAGGAATGATTGGCTTAATTAACTCTTTTATATGGCTCTACTTACAGCTAGATTTATACTTATTTTTCTTTGGTGTTCTAACTGGTACTATACCTCCCTGAAGCTAAGAATATCAAGTAATATCATCAAAGCCAATGATACCTCCAAACTTCTAAAACTTCCCACTTAATTCTATACTTGCACTTCATTTTTAGAGATGCTATTAATGAGAAGAGTTTGGTGATTGAATTAGGAACTTAACGTGTCTAAAAACAGCGGTTATGTTTGAAATTGATGTTATAATCAGCATTTCCCACTGTACACATTAAAGAACTCATTCAAACCAAGAGAAGAAAAAAATACTGTTAATATTTTTTTTTGTTATTTACTTATTAACTGGAACTTAAATATACTTTAACTGCTTTGACTCTACAAAACATTTTAAAGCAGTCTTTAAAAATTGTAAAAGAGGATTTTAAGCTCTGTTTCTATTGAAATATTTAAATCAATAGAATATTTTATTTAGAAACATTTGTAAGCTTTCAGCTCAGAACTGAGAAGTGACCTTATTTCCAAGACAAATGATCAAAGGTAGTAAAAGCAATACCAATATTTATTTCAAGATTTGGCTCACAAAATTAACAACATTTTAATTTCATTTATTCTTTAGAAATACCTGTGCCATGACCTGAGCAGATTTAAATCAAATTGTAAGTGCAGATTCAGTAGCAACTGCCTCCTAATGGCCCTGACCTGGGGCCTCCCCCCATCCTGCCTAACTGGGAACTGAAGGCCCTTGTGTGATGCGTGGGGGAAAAGTAGGATCTGCACTGAGCAGCATGGCTCAGGGGAAGGCATTTAAACAGATGCTGGGATTTGTGAATGTTACACATTTAGGATTGAGCCTCTTTGGAAGTCAAGCCCCTAATACTGGTTTGTGGATTGTCTTACCTTCCCTTGGGATAAGGGGTGGAAGAAGTGCAGGAGGTGCGTGATTGAAATCCCTTTGTGGTTGCCTCTGTTGCAATCCAGTTGTGTCTGTAAGCAACAATTTCTGTGTGTAGTCTTTGCTATTAATCGGTTATCTTGTTGTTTTGGATTATCTTTTCAACTGCTTGTCACTGAATATTGACATCTACCTGAGCATTTTCTTTCCTGTTGATGTGAAATCTCAGTGTAATATCCCTTTACAGCTGTCCTAGCTGTCCTCAGAAAAGGGTGTTGTGACTCTGGTTTAGGGAAGCTTGAAAAACAGAAATCCCATGCCCAGAACAAGGCTCAACCTACTAATGACTTGACATTGAGGGTGAGTATGTTGTAATTCCTCTACTAGAGCAATGATAGTTGCCAGGAGTTAACCATAGTTCTAGCCCTGCTGGTTAGATGAACTTGCCTAGAATAAAATCATTTTCCCAAATAAAAATGAAAGAACCTGCTTCTACTGGTGTGGTGATGAATTATCCCAACCAGAATATGGCTTTTTGCATTTTCTAGCTACTGCTCGAGTTCTGAGGCTAGTACAGCATATTAAACTTTCTGGATCTGTGCAAAAGCCTATGATATCCAGATGCAAGAGGTGTAAGCACCTTGTGCAGATTCCAGCTCCCAGGGCAATGCTTATATTTTATCCAGTTTTGTCCATATTACAACAGAAACAGCCCAGGGAAATGGAGAAGGGAAAACATGATCTCTTCCTGAGCATCTGTGTGCCAAGAGGCTGTGCACACTGATGCTGCATGTTACACCCTGCTCCAGCAGCCGTACAGAGCAGCAGAACAGTTTCAGTAGTAACAGTGAGGAGGGTGTCCCCTCACCTCCCCAGGTGGCCTTTTCTCTCAAAATTATCCCTGTGTTGGTGCTGCAACAGTTCACTTGGCTCCCATTCCTTGCAGGTGTGGTGGAGGGGTAGATGTGTACAAGAAGATGCTAGTGCATTCCCCTGAAGGGTGTTTTTCTCCTCATCAAGGCTTTACTTGCCTGGGTTTCTGGAATAAGTGTGTAGGCTAACTCTGGAATGCAAGAAGATGGCATCTCCATCAGTGGGTTTATATAACAATTTTGCACAGAATATTAGAGACGGGCTTATTTTACCTCTGGTCTGAAGAAAGGCAAATTTTAGCTTGTCCTCAGAATTTGGGAGCATGGTCAGGACAATACAAAAAACTGGACAAATTGCCACTTCCCATGGCTAATTTTCGTTACATCAGCTGGTAAATTATTTCTGATGGTGGCTGTACAATCTGGTGGCTGTAATCTCTCTCCTTGGAATATGTACTTGTCAGGGTCTTAATCCTTTGGAGCCAGGGAGCACCAGAAAGGGATCATTTCTGCTTTGAAAGACAGAGAGAAGGTACATCTTTGCTGGAAGCACAGATTGACCTTAAGGATCTGAAAAAACTTTTTCTTGACTTGCAACATAGGGACAATTTGTTGGTAGTGTATTCAGAATTAGTAAAATAAACTTTTTAAAGAAATGTGTATCTTGCCTTGAACTATAAAAAGGAGCAGACTTTTTAATGAAAACAGCCCCAAAAAGGCTTTTTTAAAACTGGTTTCTCTCAGATGAAGCTGCTGCCCTACTTTTTTTAATGGTTTCCCTCTTAAGGACTAATGCATCTGTCTAGCCGTAGAGCAGAGTTCATTGGAAGTGCAAGTAGGTTTTTATAATCCTTGTACCCTTGTGGTGTCACTCTGGAACTCATCTGCGACAATGGTTTTGTGCCTCCCATCAACATGTTTTCTTCTGTGAAAGTCACCTTGCTCCTGTCATGCATTTTACTGCAAAATTAAGCATGATCACTTATTGCTAGCTCAGTTTTTTGTGATTTTTTTTTCTTTTTTTGTCCTTTGTACTTAATGATTTGTATGTACAGTGGAGTTTGGCTTTGAGTCATTGTTACTTAATCTAGTCCTGAGTGACAGCTGGCCTTCAATGTCCTAGATTATTTTCCGTTGCTATTTTGTGTTTAGAAATCTTACCTTGCAATACGTGTCTGTGTTAAATTACCTGTGAACCAGCCAAATCTTCTGTTATGGCTTATTATGTTAGTCCTGGATAACTCCATACCCAAAGAAGGTCAGTATATCAGAAGTCTGTATGTTTTCTGTCTGAGTTAACTAATGACAGAGGAGTTCATTTTAATGAAAGATCAGAAGATGTGAAGATATCTTAGTTCATTTTTAAGAAGCTGGGATGTGGAGGACATAAAAGTACAGTGTTTTATGTAAAGTGCTGCAAACACTGTGAAGACTCACTATTCAAAACCCCAAAGAGATTTTAACAGCACTGGCTTTAACAAGGAGTGGTGGGTTGTATAGTGTTGGGTTTTTTTTTCCTCAAAGTAAAGAAATGTAGATGACTTTTTCAGAAGTAAAGAGAAACAAAACACTTTTCAAAGGGAGAAAAATCACTGGTACTTTATCCCTTTGCTTTCCTTCTGTTTTTTACTTTTGCCAACCACATCTGATTTGCCTCTGCAGAGGGAGACTCCCTACTGAGAACTCCTGTATTTTTGTAACATACAACAAAAAAAGTCTTCAGAATTAGGAAGGCTTCTTGTAGAAATAGCACTAAGCACAATCTTAGACCGTTTAGGAGTCAATCATGTATAAACTCAGCATTCAAGAGACTGACAAGACTGGAGGCATTGTTCAGAACATGCATCAGACCAGAGGTTTGAGAGGTCACAAGTCCTTCAGCTGCTTGTGGGTGCCAAAATTGCCATTCTTAACCAGGAGGGCTTTTTTTGTCACTGTCACACAGAAAGCAGGGTATACACCTATGTCGATGTTAATAATTCATGCAGAGATTTTTCTTTCCTCTGAGGCCATCTTCACTGCTGTTTAATTGGATTAATCAGATCTTTAAAATTATTCAGTGCCTATTTAAATCAGTAGAAGACCTCAGTGATGGATGTGGGCTTGGGTCACAGAGCAATTAAATTATTTCTCCTGGCTTCTTACGAATATTACTAGTGGTATTCTTTGACAGTGGATGATGACATGTTAAAGTTGGCATGCCGAACAGAATATCTCACCAGATGATATGCAGAAATAATTCTTTTATTCAGATTTACTTACTTATTTTCGAACTTTGTAAGACTTTTCAGACTTTCCAGGAGCTTCACAATGTCCGCACAGAGCATCTCCACTTTAATCATATCTCAAATCACCAACTGGTTGCATGTTTAGTGCCCTGGTAACTACATAGTGTTCTATGCTTTTATGAACAGAATTATGCCTCTGTAAATTTAAGTTGATGTTTTCAAAGGTGAAGGTGTACTTTTGGTCTAAAAGCACAGATGTGCACAAAAATACCTATAAATGAGGGCATTTCCATTATTAATGGGACATCAATGATATGCCTCTTCAACCTTTTATTTATTATAGCAGTGATAAGACGGCAGTGAGCAATAATGGGATTATGGGCATAAAGAGTGGAAATACAAATAATATTATCATCTGAAGCAGATGATGGATTGTTTCAGGAAGCCTGCTGGCTCTCCCAGGATAGTTTAGTTTAATAGGAAATTTATAAGATGATTTTATCTTGTTATATGTCTAAATCCATTCTCAGTTGTGACTGGAGACAACGTTCAATAAGATTTATAGTGGACAGATAGCTGTTTAAGGAGGCTAAACATTTTTATCGACTTAATAATTTATATCACAGATGCATTTGTGAGGTTTGCAAAATATAGTGCAGTAATCATAAAAAAAAAATTAAAATCCCAGTCCGTGAAAAAAAATTCTTCCTTTGATTTGTTCCCCACTGTTAACAACAAATACTTGTTCATACCT